AAGAGATAAAAGAGGTGAATGAGCTTCCCTGGTCTATTTTATAAGAGCACTAATTCCCTTCCTTGTGAATTAATCAGTCCCAGGAGATGCTACTTCCTAATATATCACTTTTGGGGATAAGATTTTAACAAATGAAATTTGGAAAGACAAAAACATCAGCACATATCCTTAGTTTTATATTGTTTATCTCTCCAAATTCATGGCGGATTTTTGTCTTCTAATTGTAAATAGTATATAGGCATACATATATGTAAACATACATACATACATACGTACACATGCAAACATGCATCAGCATGTGATTTTATATTCTGCCATTTTAATGAGAAACATATTTAACAGAAGAACCATAAATCGGCTCCACAAACATATATTAGGTATATCGTATGTACAAAGGTTTCAGACACGATCAGTTTTGTGCTTTAGAAACATCATCCTGATTGTTTTGTGGAGAATGCAGAGGAAAGCAAGGACAGACATAAAGAAACTTGTTAGGATTGTGTGCAGAGAAAAAGCTAAGAGACCTTCAGCGAGAGCATCCGAGACCCTATTACAGGCATTAGTTTTCATGACTGACCTTTTAATAAAGTGTGTGGCTTCTGAGATAGACCTCAGAGAGTGTTTCCCATCACTTCTGTATTCCTAGCAAAGTTTCAGGGCTATTGAATTTCCTGGAAATCTAAGCATAAAAAGAATTGTATTCTTACAGTAAATTGAATGTATTTTGAAGATAAAATTGTTTCCTCAAAGTCGGAACCATTATATAATTGCTTTTACTTATTTTCCTTATGTTTTCTTTAAAGAGTCTTAATATTCTGAGAGATCTGTCTACTAATAAATAAAATACCAGTAAATAAAGTACCAATAAGAATTTCTGAGAGAATCCACAGAAGAGAAATAAAATCTAATAGTTACAATATACTAACCTTTTTTACTCTGCATTCTAATAGCCGGAGATCCACAGATTGAAAAATAAGGCAAATTATTTCTAAAACTTCTAAGAATAATAAAAAGACAAGTTCACTTTTCCTTTTTAATTTTCTTCATTGGAGAAAAGTTACATTTATTTTATCCTAACTGTGTTCTTCCTGATTATATAATATTTGGGCATTTTTTAGGATGAGTTTGTTATCTCTTTAAGTATAGTCAGAAATATATTCAAATTCCACAGGTGTTTGAAAATGGAAATGCTGAAAACTAGAAATTGTAAGCCTCTATTATAAACTGCACACCATCATTCATTAGAGCACAAAGACTTTGTTTTCATTATGGAAACTTAGGGGTTTAATACAGCTAGAAAGTGATTTTGACGCCCAGAAGTAGAATACTCTGTGAATACAGCCTCACCTCCCCCACAACAGGAAAACAGTATGCACTGTGTCCAATGGCTTTTATAAATAAAAACACTGTCATAGGTGTGTGTCCAAGCAGACCAAACACTACAGAAATGGAAATACCAGATTGGTTTCCTGGATTTATTTGCAATTGAATCAGCATGTATTCATCTTTGATTTACAACCATTTCCATTGAAATTTGGCCCTGCAGAGAAGGGAGTGAGCTTGCCTGTTAGTAAGAAACACTGCCTTTAATAAGATGACCAAAAGTCTCAGTTTTTCTTTATGGGTAAAAAAGCCTTACAGGTACAATAACAGTACAGATAATAACTAACACACATTACTATTATGTTTTACATGAAAATTTGGATTTCCCCATCCTGCCCCTCTCAATCTCCTCTGTCTTTCCCATCACCTGAGAAAATATTGTCTCTTTAGTTAGAGGCACTCTCTCTCTCTCTCTCTCTCTATATATATATATGTCATGATAGCTGTCACAACACTCGAATAGAGTCATTAAAGCAAGTTCAAGTCTTGTTAATAAACATGGATCCTTTATTCTTTCTAAATTTTCTCAGCCCATCTCTATGCTGAGAATAATATGAGAATTAAATGGATGTGAGTGTTTTGTAAACCTCAATTCATGAAGTTGAGGTAAGTCTTTTCTCAATTATATTTGCTTTCCTTAATGAAAGTTCCTTAAAGTTCCTTAATCGTGCTCATCTTTTTACTTTTGAAGATATTACCCTGTCTGTACTATAGTATCTTCCTTCCTAATTATTGCTTTAATCAGAAAGAGTTTTTAGGTGATATCAAGTAGCACAACTCTTATATAAAGAAATATCGAAGTAGTCATCTCTTCATACTTCCATATATATCTTTTTGTTTTTTTTTTTTTTTTTTTGACAGGCAAGAGTGGACAGTTGAGAGAGAGAGACAGAGAGAGAAGGTCTCCTTTGCCGCTGGTTCACCCTCCAATGGCCGCCGCTGCAGCCGGCGCACCGCGTGTGATCCTGGCAGGGAGCCAGGAACCCAGGGGCTTTTTCCTGGTCTCCATGGGGTGCAGGCCCAAGCACCTGGGCCATCTCTCAACTGCACTTCCTCTGGCCATAAGCAGAAGAGCTGGGCTTTGGAAGAAGGGGAACCGGGAACAGAATCCGGGCGGCCCAACCGGGAATAGAGAACCCGGTGGCCGGCGCCGCAAGGGGGAAGGATAAGCCTAATTGAGCACGGCGCCGGCTCATACTTCAATTTAATCATGTATAGATTATGTGTTACCAAAACTTGAGAAGTACAGTTGAAGAATTGACAAATCAGGGGTAAGTATTTTGTTAGCAGTGAAGATACCTCCTGGGATGCCAGCGTCCTGTCTTGAGTATCTGGCTTTGAGTCCCAGCCCTGCTTCCTTTGCAGCTTCCTGCTGAGGCTCACCCTGGGAAGCAGCAGGTGGTAGCTCAAGTACTTGGGTCCCTGCAGCCCATCTGGGAGACCTAAATGGAGTTCCCAGCTCCTGGGCGTTTGGGAAGTGAATCTACATATGGGAGTACTCACTTTCTCTCTCCTTTTCCCTCTTCCCCTCCCTACCCCCTCCTTCTGATCCTCTCTGCTCTCTCCCCTCATGTCAAATAAAATAAATAAAATTTTGAAAGAAATTAACAGATCAGAGACTGAAAATATTTTGTAAGACCAGTAAAACATTTTGGTCATTTATTTAAAAGAGATAGATTTTTATAGATGATTTTAGCTTACATGCCATTTTATAATTTAACTTTGGCACCTAACAATACATTTGTTAACTCAATGTACAAACATTTATTGAATATCAATAAATGCCAAGTGATGTTCTAGACCCTGGGTTATAGCTATAAGTAATTAGGCAAGGTGTGTATACATATAAGTATTTTTTCTGTTGCCACACATAGAAATCCACTTATACTCCCATAATATATAGCAGTGCAACCTTCACTAATTCACATTCAGGCTCACAGTTACAAAAGAAAATTGCAAGGAATTCTCAGTATATACACATTTTGACACTTATGTAAGTATTAACAAAATGAAATGCATAGATTAACATTATTGATATTAATTTTATTTGATATTAGCAAAGATCCTTTGGGGAAGTTGTTTAACTTTAAACACCACAGAACATTAAATGTCTTATCATATAACACAAATATTTTGCTTCTAGTATAGATGAATAATGAGTTCTCAGGTTAAATTTTCATAGCTTTATAATAATGTTGAGCTCAGGTGCCAGACATTTGACCTAGTGGTTAAGTCTCTGCTTGGGACACCTGCATTTCCATATCAGAGTTCCTGGTTTGAGTCCTGGCTATTCCACTTCTGATCCAACCTCATAGCATACACCCTGGGAGGCAGCAGGTAATAGCTCAAGTATGTGGGTCCCTATTACATATCTGGGAGACCTGGACTGAGTTCCTGGTTTCTGGCTTTACCATGGCCCAACCCAGCTGTTAACTGGGTTAACCAGCAGATGGTTTCTGTGTGTGTGTATCTGTCTATCTGTCAACTTGCCTTTCATATAATTAAAATAATGAACATTCTATTTATTCACATTTTCCTGATTGTTATTTAGACATTTTTATGACACAAGTGTTAATTATATCTATACTAATTATATTTAATTATTTTCTTCCAAAGTTATTGTCACTATCATTTAAAGGAAACTGAGATGATTTTGATTTTCATTGTTTACATTTATCAGTGATTTTCCTTGACTTCCAAATTTTGAATGTTTCAAGCATTTCCAACCTACAAACATCCATTTACATTTTCATTTTTACATTTAAATATTTGAGACACTGAATTTTGAGTAAGGACTGAATAAGTCTCCAGCTTTTCTTGTTTCAAAGAGCTTCCAATTGCTATTGACATTTAGTTGATACCTAACTTTTTCTACTAATTCAAAATACTACTTTTAATTACATTACATTTTCATGTGTACTACATTTCTTTGGATTTCTTTTTTTTCTCTTCCATTACATTAATCTCCCCATGCTTTGACCAGAACCACACTCAATCACTGTAATTGTTCATTTTATATTTGGTGGGGTTATGGAGCCCCATTATATTTAAGATGCAGTTATGCATTTTTGGATACTTTCTTCTTCTAAATCAACTTTAAAAATAATTTTGTTAATGCTTTTATGGGGGAGTGGCATTTCAGTTCTAGATTAATGCAGGAAATGTTGATATCTTTACAATACAGAATTATCTGGTTCAAGAATGAAATATGTCTACTTACTCATCCATTATTTTATAATTTCCACACCCTCTATATTTCTAACTAAATTTATTCTCAAGAACTTTTTGATTTTATTTATGTGATGTATTACTCCATTTTTAATTGCTATAACAAGTTACCTGAAGCAGACCAGATTTGTAAGGAAAAGAGGATTATTTAACTCATAGTATGGGAGGCTGAAAGAATAGATAGTAAATCTAGCTGTTGAGAGGGCTGCCATTGGATGTGTCACCCCATGGTAGATGACAATACCAAGGGTACATGTGGGAGGACAGATCCCATCTCAGCACAGCCCAAAGGAAGACTGGCTGGGGTCAGATTCAAGTTACCTTAATTGATTCTTAAGGTAGACCCCAAATTTACCTTTGGATCTCTTACTGAGCCTCACCTCTTAAAGGTTCTAGGCCATCCGTCAGTACCAGCGCCCTGGGGACCAAGCTATTAATACAAGAACCTTGGAGGACAAACCACATCCAAACCATAGTACCTAGTGAGTAAGATGTTTTTAAATTATGTTTTTCTATGAATTGGTTATAATATAAAAAATCTTTAATAAGCTTTATTAAATATTATTTCATTGAGTTTTCTAGTTACAAAATTGTATTAACTTCAAATGATTACAATGTGCTCTTTATTAAATAATATTGCCTAATTATATTTATCAACATGACTAAGATAATATTAAAAAGCACTAATGATAAAAACATAACTGATTAAATATACCTTAACTTCATTTACATGCTTCTAGAATACAGTTATGAAGTTTAAGCACCATAATAATCTTTGGCATTCTATACTAATCTTTTGGTATGTATGTATAACATTTTGTATGTGTATATATGAATGTAAATTTATATTATTGAGGAAATTTTGCATACTTTGCATTTATTAAATATTTTTATTAGGAAATAATGGTGGATTTTACCCAATATTCAATAAGCATACATTAAAGGAATTGTGTGATCTTTTTCCATCAATTTATTATAATTGTGATTCACAGTTATTGATATAACAGTATTAAAATTTCTGTGTTTTTCAAGAAAAAACTAGACTAGGTCATAAAAAGTTGTTCTTACAATATACTGCTGGAGTATTTTAGGATTCATTTTCACTCACCATAGTAAATGAGAGTGTTGTTTCATCATTTGAGTGTTTGCCTGCTGAGAATTTCGTATATGTATTACTCTTTTGCTTTATAAAATGGTCAATAATTGTCCTATATTTTGTTCTATTCTGAAACACATTAAATAGCATTGGACTTAGGTGTTGCTTTAAGATAAAATAAGTTAATGTTAAAAATATCTATAGCACTATTTCATCAAATTGCTTTTTGAAAGCATTCTTATTAACCTTCCATGATTATTGACATGTTTATGATTTTCATCACTTAAGTAAATTTTCATATTTATGTTTTCATAGAAAATCAGTCACTTCATCTGACTTTTCAAACATTTAATTTCCGTTGTATCTGCAACTCTTTCCCCTTTATCAAATCACAATCAATATTTGCACTTTCTCTGTGCCTTGCTAGATTAGACTGGCTAGTGGCATATTTATTTTCTGTTTCTTTTAAAGTGTAAACTCTATAGCTATATTGATAATTTATTAATTTTTGCTCCGATTTTCTTTTATTTCATGCAGCCTTTGATAAAGAGCTTCTCATTTCCCCCTGGCCATGGGTGAGGCAGCTGTGGGTGGGAAGCAGGTTAAATCCTGGGGATTTAGTGTAGTAGCTGTTTTATCTAAACTGAAGGAACAAACAGTAGAAGGAATTTTCTAAAGGCATTTCTAATCCTACTGATTAAATAGCCCCAGCCAAAAGGATATCATCAGTGTATTTTTCATTTTTCAGCTCCCACCTTCTTCTCTATTCTATTCTCTTGATGTCTAATGTATTCTTTCAGCTGTGGTCCTACTGTGACATGTTTAGGGTAAAACAAAATGCAGGCATAGAAAACAAGCCAAAAAAAAAAAATCCCCAGAAACACATTAATTTTATTTCATTCACATTGTTTTTCCCAAAACAAAATATCCCTTTTCTTTTGCAGGGGAAGAATTAATTTTCCTTTTCTGATGTTCTTATGACCTGGGTGACCCTGTGAAAATCATTTGACTTCTTAATACCTCAATTTCCTCATTTGTAATATAGAGATACTGGTAGTATCTACTTTATAAGGTTATTATGAGGGCGAGTAAACTGAGTATGCATTCTACAATAGCATATCGTGGCATGCAGTGACCACTATTCAGAAGACTGTGAGCTCACTATGAATGGCAGTAGGTAGGATGATTATGCTGGCTCTTCCCAATTCTAACACACCCTGAGAGCAGGGAGTATTAGGAAGAGAGACCCGGAGATAGCAGTACTCTATTGAACATTTGAGCAAAATTTAAGACTGACCTCTTTAATGTTTGCGAAAATATAATTTCAGTCTATTCTACAATCACAGGGTTAATATACCACTAACCATAATATGAGGGAAGGAGAAAAATACGGTTATCTTATTAGAAGTCTACCTGACATACACAGAATCTGTTCTCTTTATATTAATAAAATTTTTCTTATAAATTTAATGAACTCAAAAAAATAAGATTGACTGCTTGCTCTGGACCTATGAGCAGTTACATCTGAACAGGCTGACTTTGGTTTAGCTGGAAGTTCACAACCTAGGGGGTGCCTTATGCTCCTGTCATGAATTCACCTCACAGAGCTAAGTGGGAAGAGTTGTTCTTGAGATTCCGAATAAAAATAGAAAAGCAGAACTTTATTAAATCATTTCGTCAATGCCATACAACTTTGTCCTTTCCCGTCTGTCTGCTTAACAAAGACATGGAGAACTGGAAATCAAGGTTAACCTTTAGCACAGGGCAAATCATCAAAAGGCCTCATGCCCAAATAGCTTGGGAAAGAGAGAGAATCTTGACAGGGAGAACTCAAGGAATCCTGGCCTATATAGTCTGAGAAGGAAATAGCTAGTTTTTATATTTTTTCTGAATCTATTTGTGAAGGAATAATGGAAATAAATAAAATTTTAAATTGTATAGATTGCTTAATGAGTGAATAAGACAGAGAACATAATGATTCTCAGTTTCAATTTCACATTGAATGATGTGATGAGAATGACAGAGAGAATGAAAAGAGGGAGGAGAGAGAGAGGAAAATTAACACATACTTTGCTCAAATATGCAGCAGATGTTTTCCTAGTGTTCACAAAAATAGGTCATAAGCATATCTCAGCACTGAATTACAGTACAGACACCCAGCCCTGACTCTAATTATAAATCAGACTTCATCTTTTAAAGAGATGATAATGTGGTGGTCTTGAAAAAGCAATTTGATGTTCTTAGAAAATACCATATAAACATATCATTTTATACACTACTCCACACTCCGCAGCATTAGAGTTGCTTAAAATATCCGAAGTATGCAAATAAATTCATAGTACTTCATAGTACCTCATAGTTTAGACTACAAATTTTCCTGCAGCTATCACTGCACCATCTGTCTCTCCCTCCACCCTGCCTCCCTCCCACATACTTCAATATCATCAGCTTTTGATAGCCACTGAGGCATTCTCTTGTCCCCACATCTTCAGCCTGTTATAGAACAGACCATTTCTTCCTACTGCTTACTTTTCTGTATAATCTTCGTTTGGATAATACTGTAACAACACAATGAAGGGTAAAGGAACGAGAAGAGATGACCTATTTCCCTGCTTGAATGTCTCCTTGATGACCTGATAATACCTTATACACATTCCTCCCTGTCTGCATCATTGTGTTCATTTTTCTCAGAGGATTGACTACCTTGATATTATAGTATCACCCTTCAAAGTTTTCTATTGCAAAGCATTCTCTCTCATGGACTAACTGAACTGCAGGAGCCCATCCAGTTTTTCAGCCATGATGCAACTCGAGCCCACAATGCTCTTACTCTTTTAGCTTCCTGTGTACTTCCTCAACGCCCAAATGCTAGGTATATACATTTTGAATTAGCTTCTGTTTCTCTTTATTGATCATGTTTGCCAAATCAGACCACAAACTTTTGTGGATGGGAGTCATTTTTCTCATTGTTATGATTTGATAGTGTTACTACTCCCCTTACTCCTATCCCACCATTTGGCACTTAGCATAAGCTTGATTAAGTCTGCGTAATTTGGTTTTATCTAAATTTGCAGGAAACTTAAGTAAACATGTATGTCAGGAGACACATTGTACTGGTTACTATCCCAATTTTCCAAAGGACTAGAGCTTACTCAGAAAAAGTTTATGCACAGAAATTCTTAATTCTTATATTATGAATGTTACTAATGTAAATCCTAGAATTATATAAGAATCTCAATAGTGCTTTTGTTTTATGGTAAATAATCCTCCTTTTCATTGATGTTTATTTTTCATACATAAAATTCAACTGAGAAACCTTCATATTCATTATTCAGTCATACAGAAAATGCTGAGCAGCCTAATTCACTACTTCATCAATTTCCTTAACTAATTTAAGCCTCATTTGCTCATTTGCCTGCTCCTTCCAATTTTTTTCAGATTCTCTGCTACTTGAAACTGAAGAAGTATGATTGTATAATTTTGTATAATCCCATACAAAAGGGATTATCACTTTTAAGATGTAACATATCTGAAAATCCAGAATAGCATTTGTCCTTCTCCAGTAAATGTGTTTGGCTGGTTCTTCATTTTTCAGTTTTTAGCATCTAAATTTAATTTACCAGTTTTTTCTTCCTTTGACTTTTTAGGACTATTCAATGAATGTATCAAATATAGATTGCTTTAAATATTGCTTTAGGACACAAAGCTAAAGGATCTAATGTAGACAACAATTTTTGGAATTTAATCAAATTTATTGTTGTAGTTATAGAAAATTAGTGATTTATGGATAGGATTAGCTTATTATTTATTTGAGGCTTATCCAGGTAGGATCTGGACAAATAACTAATTGAGTCTCACTCTTATCTTTGCAGTGCTGGAAGTTCTGCATTGGCCAATATATCTGGAATTGGTCAAACTGAAATGCACTGGAATAGATTTTTTCATTAACAAATTTATACATAATCCAGGATAGAAAGATACTGGATCATAATGAGAACTTACACTGCTCCAATTCATAAGTCATAAGCATGCCCACTCCAGTTAGGGAAAGCAGAATGAAAGGGATAATAAGTAGACATTTTTTGGTAAACATGTAGCCAAATGAGTGAAATCATTCGGGGATGTAAAAGGTTTGTGTACTTAACTAATCAGATGGAATCATCAACAGATTGTGATATTTCTCCCAGTCAACCCCAAATTCTCAAAATAGGGAAATCAGAGTATTCTCTCAAGTTAATACTTGCCACTCTCTAATAAATGGAGTTTCCCTTTCTCCTCTTTGATTAGCCTCGTCTTTCTCCAAATATGTAAGCATTATTGATATGGTGATTATTTCACAAGTCGTCTTATCTACTATTTATGAATTAGGTTGCAAAGGTTGACTAT